CCAGAAGGCTGTCAGTTCAAACACACCAGTCACTCCTCAGAAGGAAGACTGGGGAATCTACTTCTGTAGAGATAACACCTCGAAAACCTGAGGAGGGGCCACTGTGAGTTGGACCTGACTCCACAATAGTGAGTTTTTATTATTATTATTATTATTATTGACAAGAAGTTAGGCATCATTCTAAATGTTGTTTCCCAGAACACAATGTGTCATCTTGCTGTGACTGTAAATTTTTGTCACTTGAATGTTCAATCTATAGCTGGATTAGCTATCCATGCCTTCAATTCTTCTGCCTAAACCACAACTGGTTAACTTAGAGAATTCTTGTTCCACTTCATGATATCCCACAAAGTTTTGCTCCTGACCAAGGAGCTTATTTTACAGCAAATCAAATGTAGCAGTGAGTAGAGGTGCTTTCTGAGAGTAAAGGGATTATGAACTGGGTAAGGAAGAGGTAGCTATCAAAAAACAACTGCAGTCATATGACAATTTGTAGAAACAAAGGCAGTAATTTTTATTAGGTGCTGTTGAGTCAACTCCAACTTATAGTGAGCCCGTGTACAACATAACAAAACACTGCCTGGTCATGTGCCATCCTTACAATCCTTGCTATAATTGAGCCCATTCTTATAGGCACTGTGTCAATCCATCTTGTTGAGGGTCTTCCCCTGTTTCAGTGACCCTCCATCTTACTGAGCATGTTATTCTTCTCCAGGGCATAGTCCCTTCTGACAAAATGACCAAAGTATGCAAGACCAAGTCTGGTCATTCTTGTTTCCAAGGAGTAATCCAGCTGCATTTCTTTCAGGGCAGATTTTCGTTTTTCTGGCAGTCCACGGTACTTTCAGTGCTCTTCACCAACACCAAAATAGTTTTCTTTTCTTCATTATTTTGGTATAAGCATATTTGCGTATATTAACCATTTGTCACCCCCTCTCCCATATGCTACATGTACCAACATAAAATGTGCTAATAAAAGTTAATTTTATACCAAAGCAGTTAAGCTACAAGAGATAAAAGGGGGAGGATGCCTCAAATGGAAGAGGAAAGAACATCACCCAAGGACAGATAAATGAAATTTGTAACCTCTTTGGGGGAGAAAGTTAACATGATTTTATTGAACAAGTAAGAGATATATCATGTTATCAGAAAACCTGATTTTCCTATTGTCTTTATTCAGAAGTTAAGTATTATTAAAAGAGATGCATATGAGAAAAGAAATTCCAGAGTGACAAGAAATATACTATAGTAGCTTTGTGTTGTGTCATCTTAACAAAGCTGGAAATGCATTTCCAAGAATTTGTTTCCCTACATCGTTCTGGAT